GGGGTTCAGCACAGAGCCCACCCTGCCTGTGCTGGGAGGGGAAAGCAGACCCTAGACCCCAGTCCTGTGGCCCTGTCCCAGTGTCTCATCACATCCCAGTTTGGTGATGCCACTGGGTAACGGGGGCTGGGGTCACCACGGCTCCACTTTGGTGGCATTTGGTGGCACAGAGAGGTCCCAGCACGTCTCTGGGAAACGCTTTTGGGGGGTACTGGTGATTTCAGGGGCTCCAGACCCCAATTTCCAGTGTCTTGGGAGCCATCAAAGGGCTCTGAGGCTGTTGAGCTGCACTGGTCACTGGCTCTCAGGTAGGAATGGCCCCAGCCCTGCAGGACAACAGAGCCTTTGCCCCCACATCTCCATCCTGGACTTTCCGGGAGGTGGGGATGGAGCAGAGCCCTGGAAACGGGTCCAACAAAGGGGTGTTGGAGACCTCCCGTCCTTCCTCAGCGCCCCAGGGCAAACCCACGGTGTTTCCCTGTTCTTGGAGGGTCTGATCCACCTGCACAAACCCCTGAGGCTTCTTCCCTGGCCAAGCTTTCCCCAAAACAGGGCAGATTTTGAGGGCATCTTGCACAGTCCCAGGGGTCAAGGAGAGGCCTGTGGCCAAGGGAGACAAAAATTGACACCCAATGCCCCAAAGATGCTGAGAGTGACCCCAGGGTGACCCCAGGGTGACCCAGCCAGGTCCTGCCCTGCTCAGTGACCTCTCCAAGCTGGGTACAGTGGATTTCAGTCCTGGGGGAGATGTGGGACAACACAGCAAGGGCTGGAAGGAATGGGGCAGCTCCCCACAAACATCCAGATAAGAGAGCCAAGGTCAGAATGGGCTTCAAGCAGATCCAGGTGGGATTCCTTAGAATCATGGCATAGTTTGGCTTGGAAGTTTCTCTTGAAGGCCATCTACTCCTGCAATGAGCAGGGACATCTTCACTAGATCAGGCTGCTCAAGGGCTCTGTCCTTCCTGCCTTGGAATGTTTCAAGGGATGAGACATGTACCTCTGGGCAACCTGTTCCAGTGTCTTATTACCTGCATAATAAAAAATTTCTTCCCTGTATCTACTCACTTTTCCAGTCTAAATCTACTCAGTTTTAGTGTAAAACCATCACCCCTCATCCTGGAGCAATCTCACCAGGCTGGGTCACCCTCCCCACCTCCAGCCCCCTTTTCCTGGAGCAATCTCACCAGGCTGGGTCACCATCCCCACCTCCAGCCCCCTTTCTGTGCCTGCAGCGAGGCCGTGCTGGCTCCCCGCACGCCCAGCCCGGCCCCGGGGTCCCGCGGGGGATGCTCGGTGCTGCGGAACCGTGAGTGAAACCCGGATGGGGCAGGGCAGGGGACACACGGCTGTGAGGATGAGGAGGATGAGGATGATGAGGATGAGGATGGTGAGGAGGATGAGGAGGATGGTGAGGATGAGGAGGATGAGGATGGTGAGGATGATGAGGATGATGAGGATGATGAGGATGATGAGGATGATGATGAGGATGGTGAGGATGATGAGGATGATGAGGATGGTCCCTGCT